TCATACAGCAAGCGGAGGTTTTCCCGGGGCCTTAATGAATGAAAATCTGTGAGCTTCTGCTGTAACGCAGACGTGAGCTCATCGCTACGACAGTCCGTGAACGCAGCACTGCTCCCATCCTTCGTGAATGCAGCATAAACTGTTGAGGTGATCCATGGCAACAGAGGAGCAGCGAGCAACCTCCGAGCCTGTCCGACACTCTCCCTGCAACTCACTCACACGGACCCTCCGGTCTCCGCTCACTCTGCCCGGTAAATGTGGCCGGAATGCTCCGGGGGAGGAACCACTCCTAACGGCTCCTGATTCGGTACCAAGGTGACCGACTGGGAGGCAGGCAGCCGCCCGGAGAGCGGGGCTCCACAGCAGCGCCAGGTGTCCGCACCGCCTCACGCTGATTACGGACGCATTTTGAACGGAGATGATGCTAGTAGCTGCTATTTTCTGGGGTTAAATCGGTAAAAAAATTCACCCTCTTGTTAATTATAAACGGAGAGCGGGCACAATGAAAGCGGGTTCTATCAGTTTATGTTCGTATTTTTGATTAACTCTTTCCGTGCCTCGCTGAAACACCCTGTCCCAGCTTGGTGTGTGTCTGCACCGCTTCCAGTTCACCATCGCTGCCCTGATCTGATACAAGCTTCATCGTGAAGATGGCGACTGGGTCGGGCTGGCAGCAGTATTACTGCCCCATCGGCCAGGGGAAATTTACTTCATCCTCCTCCTCCACCTCCTCCTCCTCCTCCTCAGCAGCACCCAGCGGCTCCTTCCAGTCCGGCATCGCCATGGAATATACCCAGGACCTGCACCTGAGGATGAGCAAGAAGATCGCACAGCTAACTAAGGTAACCTCTCTCTGTGCCGAACTCCGTTCCAACTTAGTCCACTTTAATAAAAATCATTTTACTTCCAAACATAACAAACTGATGCAACACAACTGGGATTTCCAAGTAAATTTCAGGTATATTCTAGTACATTCGGGGCCCATTTAACGCTGGGATTAAAAACTTTATGTGATAGAGAGGCGAAAATGAAGTCAGAATTATTCACATTTTGATCATTTCTTTATTGCAAAAAATATATTTGTTTCTCTAATTGTCTTTTTACCCGTTCAACAATTGGATTTCTACGGAAGAGGATTAGTGACACACTGAAAGAAAGGGATTTTTAAATTGTATTTCATTTTAATATGAGAAAAAATAGAATTCTGACTTTAATCTCAGAATTCTGACTTTTTTTCTCAGAATTCGGACTTTACTCTCAGAATTCGGACTTTTTTTTCCTCAGAATTCGGACTTTACTCTCAGAATTCCGGCTTTATTCCCAGAATTCCGACTTTATTCCCAGAATTCCAACTTTTTTTCTCAGAATTCCGACTTTATTCCCAGAATTCCAACTTTATTCCCAGAATTCCAACTTTTTTCTCAGAATTCCGACTTTACTCTCAAAATTCTGACTTTTTTTAACCTCAAAATTCTGACTTTTTCCCCCCTCAAAATTCTGACTTTTTCCCCCATCAAAATTCTGACTTTTTCCCCCCTCAAGATTCTGACTTTTTTCCCCCTCAAAATTCTGACTTTTTTCTCAGAATACAGACTTTTTTCTCAGAATACAGACTTTTTTCTCAGAATACAGAATTTATTCTCAGAATTCGGACGTTTTCTTTCTCAGAATTCGGACGTTTTCTTTCTCAGAATTCGGACGTTTTCTTTCTTAGAATTCGGACGTTTTCTTTCTCAGAATTCGGACTTTACTCTCAAAATTCTGACTTTTTTCCCCTCAAAATTCTGACTTTTTCC